ACCAATATTGAAAAACATGTAACGACCAACACTAATTAATTAATTAGTGTTGGGAGGAAATGCAATGCCACCTACAGTTTGTACAATTTGGGTTCTACACTTGTATGATTAGGTTTAATATTTTAATGCTATATAACACTATTTTTTAACGATGAATCATTTATCAAAATCAATTATTTTATAAAATTTTATTAATGTCCATTTGCATGCTTTATGTGATTGATCTTATCATATATATAATGTTTTTTTATATCGCTTAGTTTTATATAATACTCTAACTAAAGTTGTGGTTTTGTTATAAACGTACAACTTTACAAATCAAACATTAATGGTTGGATTTCGAAAAATCATCATTTTCACTTTTTCTTTATTTTGAATTTTTTTTTGAATTTTTTTTTTAACATACACACACGTTTTTTTTAGTGAACTCAAGTTAGAGAACATATAATGTCAAACATATTCGATTTACATTGAAAACGCTTCACACAAATTAAATTTTGCAGTATAAAATATATTTATCTATATGGAAGATATACCATTTGATATTTGATGTTTCTAAGTTATCATGTATATTATAAAAAAATAATAAATTTTTTTTTTAATATTCTAATTCTATGTTTGAGATGGGTCAAAAATCCAATATGATAGTAATTAGGGTGAATTAACTTAATATTACTTTTGAGGGACTTAATTAGGTGAGTAAATTAGGGTTAAAAGAAATTAGGTGACTAACAGAGAGGTAAGACTTTCGGACGAAATTGCCCATATTAAATTTGCTAAAGAATTTCAAAGAAAATAAAATAAAAGAGTAATTGGAGAAGGAAACAATTAAGAAAAAAATCCCTAGAATATTTCTTCGCTTTCATACACTAAATATCTTGTTTATCAATCATAGGTGTTTACTACCAGATATTGTAACTCAACATGATGTTGTAACTACCGAGCCAGTAAATAGTTAACTATTTTATAATCATAGTGACTATTTTATAATCATAGTGATGTCGCTTCATAGTTCACTATTTTCGGACCATAGCCAGTAAATAGTTAATTATTTTTGAACCATAGGCAGTAAGTAGTTAACTATTTTAGAACCATAGTGATATCGCTCCATAGTTCATTATTTTCGAACCATGACAGTAAATAATTAACTATTTTCGAACCATGACCAGTAAATAGTTAACTATTAACAATTTCGAACAATAGATAGCAAGTAGTTAACTATTTTGGAACCATAGTGATTATAGTGATGTTGTTCCATAGGTCGCTATTTTTTAACCATAGCCAGCAAATTAAATAGTTAACTATTTTCGAACCATATGTCATTCGGCGTGTAAAAACATATATTTTTTACTCAG